TATCCAGCGTCCTACGTATTGGTTCTTTCTATTCCCTCTTTTTCAGCAACCTCTCCTGCTCTGAGTACCCAGCAGGACTCAAGGCAGAACAATACCAGATTTAAACAAATCCTATTGGTGTGGGATCCCTGGATTTGAACGTTCTCATAATCTTTTTTTTTTTGAGATATATACAAGAGCTGTTACATTCTTGTAGAGCCACTAGTACGCGTAGCGTTTCGGGCAGGTCCCTAGAATACGATCCCCGCCGCGAAGAATCGTTGTTACAACCAAGTACACATTTTACTGTTGAGTTAAACAGAGACTACAGTTAAGGATTTGCGCCCAGTAAATCCTCCCCGGCCAGGATACGAACCCATGACAAAGCGCTCGCGGAACGCTAGGCGAGTGTCTTACCCCTGCACCACGGAGACTGGCTGGTAATCCATCCTATTAGATTCCTGGCCGCCGCTATACTTGCTCGGTTATGTTCATTAATTGTCAGGTTGTCAGACATCATAATTCCCAGATCTTTTACGTGTTGCTTTCTGATTGTGTCTTGTACCCTGTGTTTCGTTGAAGTTCCTCGTTACACCATGCCTCAGTACCTGCAACTTATTACTGTTAAACATCATGTTACTTTCCGTTGCCCAATCAAAGACTTTTATTAATATCTGTCTGTAGTTTTTCAGCGTCTTTTACTGAGGAAATTTTCATCCTTATTTTTGGATCATCTGTAAAGGATGACACAAAATTGTGACGTAATTTTGTCTATATCCGAGATAAGAATGAGAAATAGCAGCGGGGCAAGAACTGTGCCCTGGGGTACAGAGCTTTTCAATGCACTTGAACTTTATCTTATTTGATTGACTGCTACTCTTTTTAATTCTGTTTGACAGAAAATTTAAAATCCAAAGACCTACTTTACCCGTTACTCCTATTGATCTCATTTGATGGTCTCTTTTGATGATTGATCTCATTTGATGATCCCTCGGCCACACCCTTCCCTGGGCCATGCCCTCCCCTCAGCCACACACCCTCCCCTCGGCCACGCCCTTCCCTCGGCCACACACCCTCCCCTCGGCCACACACCCTCCCCTCGGCCACACACCCTCCCCTCGGCCACGCCTTTTCCTCGGCCACACCCTCCCCTCGGCCACACCTTCACCCCTCCCCCCTGCTCGTCACCTCTCCATCTCGCCATAAATCAAGCACTCCTCAACACTTCCTCTTGCATGTTGGGTCAGAATGTGCCCCTCTGCCAACTGTGTGCCTCACTTCCCCTCCCTCTCCCCAACCCTCCCTCTCCCCCCTCTTCCTCTCCCCAACCCTCCCTCTCCCCCCTCTTCCTCTCCCTCTCACCCCAACCCTCCCTCTCCCCCCTCTTCCTCTCCCTCTTCCTCTCCCTCTCACCCCAACCCTCCCTCTACCCCCTCTTCCTCTCCCTTTCACCCCAACCCTCCCTCTCCCCCCCTCTTCCTCTCCCCAACCCTCCCTCTTCCCCCTCTTCCTCTCCCCCTCTTCTTCTCCCCAACCCTCCCTCTCCCCCCTCTTCCTCCCCAACCCTCCCTCTCCCCAACCCTCCCTCTTCCCCCTCTTCCTCTCCCCCTCTTCTTCTCCCCAACCCTCCCTCTCCCCCCTCTTCCTCTCCCTAACCCTTCCTCCCCCCCTAACCACCCCTTCCTCTCCCCCCCTTTCCATCTCTCCCACTCCCCTCTCCCCCCTTTCCATCTCTCCCTCTTCTCTCTCCCCCCTTTCCATCTCTCCCTCTCCTCTCTCCCCCATTCTTCCCGACGCCTGTCTGTGGCTGACACAAAGATGATGAAGAGGCACAGCACACGAGGCCTGTACACAGATGCTACACGACCTGGCAAAGCTTCCCATACAGTCGAAGCACTGGCTAATAGACTCCAACCCAGATAAATGCAAGGTAATGAAAACTGAACCGGGACCTAAAGTCACTGAACAGTAATGACACTTATCGCAGATAACTCCTCGAATTTCAGAGAGGGACTTAGTAGATTATACAGTTCCTAGAGTACCAACAGAAGCCCGTATGTATGAACATGTATGAACATGTTCAGTACGTGCCAAACTCCACCCATCCTCCTGAAATGATAGCACTTAAAATACCTATTTGGTGGAAAGTACCAATATGTAGTGATGGACCACCAGAAAGTACCAATATGTAGTGATGGAGCACCAGAAAGTACCAATATGTAGTGATGGACCACCAGAACGTACCAATATGTAGTGATGGAGCACCAGAAAGTACCAATATGTAGTGATGGACCACCAGAAAGTACCAATATGTAGTGATGGACCACCAGAACGTACCAATATGTAGTGATGGACCACCAGAAAGTACCAATATGTAGTGATGGACCACCAGAACGTACCAATATGTAGTGATGGAGCATCAGAAAGTACCAATATGTAGTGATGGAGCACCAGAAAGTACCAATATGTAGTGATGGACCACCAGAAAGTACCAATATGTAGTGATGGACCACCAGAAAGTACCAATATGAAGTGATGGACCACGAGAAAGTACCAATATGTAGTGATGGACCACCAGAAAGTACCAATATGTAGTGATGGACCACCAGAAAGTACCAATATGTAGTGATGGACCACCAGAACGTACCAATATGTAGTGATGGACCACCAGAAAGTACCAATATGTAGTGATGGACCACCAGAAAGTACCAATATGTAGTGATGGACCACCAGAAAGTACCATGGAACCGTACCAATATGTAGTGATGGACCACCAGAAAGTACCAATATGTAGTGATGGACCGCCAGAAAGTACCAATATGTAGTGATGGACCACCAGAAAGTACCAATATGTAGTGATGGACCACCAGAAAGTACCAATATGTAGTGATGGACAACCAGAACGTACCAATATGTAGTGATGGACCACCAGAACGTACCAATATGTAGTGATGGACCACCAAAAAGTAACAATATGTAGTGATGGACCACCAGAAAGTACCAATATGTAGTGATGGACCACCAGAAAGTACCAATATGAAGTGATGGACCACGAGAAAGTACCAATATGAAGTGATGGACCACGAGAAAGTACCAATATATAGTGATGGACCACCAGAAAGTACCAATATGTAGTGATGGACCACGAGAAAGTACCAATATGTAGTGATGGACCGCCAGAAAGTACCAATATGTTGTGATTGACCGTTAGAAAGTACCAATATGTAGTGATGGACCGCCAGAAAGTACCAATATGTAGTGATGGACCGCCAGAAAGTACCAATATGTAGTGATGGACCACCAGAAAGTAACAATATACCTGGTTGATGGGGTTCTCGGAGTTGTTCTACTCCCCAAGCCCGGCCCGAGGCCAGGCTTGACTTGTCAGAGTTTGGCATGACTGTTACTCTTTGTGTTCTGTTCGACAGAAAACTGAGTATCCAGCGTCCTACTTTACCAGTTATTCCCATTGACCTCATTTTGTGTGCTATCACCTCATGGTCACATTTATCGAACGCCTTTGTGAAGTCCGTATATACAACATGTGCATTTTGCTTTTCTTCTAGGGCTTCTGTGATTTTGTCATAGTGGTTGAGTAACTGTGACAGACAGGATCTTCCCGCTCTAAATCCATGTTGTCCTGGATTGTGCAATTCATTGTTTTCCATAAAACTAGAAATTTGATTCCTAATCACTCTTTCAAACACTTTTATTATGTGTGATGTTAGTGCAACTGGCCTATAATTTTTTGCCAAGGCTTTACTCCCCCCCTTGTGCAACGGAGCTATATCTGCAGATTTAAGTGCTGCTGGTATCTCCCCTGTATCCAGGCTCTTTCTCCATATTACGCTGAGTGCTCGCGCTACTGGTACTTTACATTTCTTTATGAATATTGAATTCCATGAGTCCGGCCCAGGAGCTGAGTGCATGGGTATATTGTCAATTTCTCTTCAAAGTTTCAAAGTCTTCCGAGTTTGTGTTAATATCCGTTATATTATCTGCAGCTTGAATGTCATTCATAAAGAAGCTGTCTGGGTCATCAACTTTCATGTTGTTTATTGGTGAGCTAAACATAGCCTCATACTGGCTTCTTAGAATTTCACTAATCTCTTTGTTGTCCTCTGTGTACGTACCTTCATTTGTAATTAACGGTCCAATACTGGTCGAGGTTTTGGATTTTGATTTTGCGTATGTGAAAAAATATTTCGGATTTTTCCTTACCTCTTGTATAGCTTTCTGTTCCAATTCCATTTCCTCAGACTCATATGATCGCTTCAACGTTTGCTCTATTTCTTCGATCTCTCTGCTTAGGCTTGTTTTCCTTGCTTGTGATAGTCGTGTCTGCCGAAGCATTTCAGTTATTTTTTTCCTTCTCCTGTACAGTCGTCTCCGTTCTCTTTCTAGAGTGGTCCTCTTTCTGCCCCTCCTCACAGGCACGTGCTTCAAGCAGACCTTGTAAGCTTCAGCTGTCAGTTGAGCTATTCCCTGTGTGGGAGTTTTGTCGCTTAAGACCGTCTCCCATTGAATGGTTGCAAGGTCTACATTTATTTTTTCTCTTAGTGTTGAAATTGAATCGAGTGAATACCCCATCTCGCTTGTTGGTTCTCTTGGGCCTAATACAGTTATTTATGGTAGTTCGCACTTCAATGAGCTTATGGTCTGAGTATGTAGTATCTGAGGTTGTAATATGTTTGTTTAGTTCAACATTGTTTGTCAATATCAGGTCAAGTGTGTTGTCGTTCCTAGTTGGTTCTGTGAACTGTTGATTGAGCGAGAATTTCTCACAGAACCTCAAAAGTTCTCTGACCTTTTTTTGACCTCTCTTATATAGTGCACCTCTCACGTGGAAATCAGGGCATTGAAGACCTTAGCATTTCCTCTCATTAATTAAGTTTGCATAGCTTTGGGTGGAAAGATCTACACACTGTTCCAAAACGACATCTGCCAATCCCGGACATGTTTCACCATTTTCGGGGATGCATGAGTGTACATTCTGTGCCGCTGGACCCATATCTGCACATTCATTTGGCATAATATCTGCAAATATTTTCATCTGTGATTTTATTCTGGTTGTTTATACCTGTGCGAGGCTGGTTGTTTATACCTGTGCGAGCCTGGTTGTTTACACCTGTGCGAGCCTGGTTGTTTACACCTGTGCGAGCCTGGTTGTTTACACCTGTGCGAGCCTGGTTGTTTATACCTGTGTGAGCCTGGTTGTTTATACCTGTGTGAGCCTTGTTGTTTACACCTGTGCGAGCCTGGTTGTTTATACCTGTGTGAGCCTTGTTGTTTACACCTGTGCGAGCCTGGTTGTTTATACCTGTGCGAGACTGGTTGTTTATACCTGTGCGAGCCTTGTTGTTTATACCTGTGTGAGCCTGGTTGTTTATACCTGTGCGAGGCTGGTTGTTTATACCTGTGCGAGCCTGGTTGTTTATACCTGTGTGAGCCTTGTTGTTTACACCTGTGCGAGCCTGGTTGTTTATACCTGTGCGAGCCTGGTTGTTTATACCTGTGCGAGCCTGGTTGTTTATACCTGTGTGAGCCTGGTTGTTTATACCTGTGTGAGCCTGGTTGTTTATACCTGTGCGAGGCTGGTTGTTTACACCTGTGCGAGCCTGGTTGTTTATACCTGTGTGAGCCTGGTTGTTTATACCTGTGCGAGCCTGGTTGTTTATACCTGTGCGAGGCTGGTTGTTTATACCTGTGCGAGCCTTGTTGTTTATACCTGTGCGAGCCTTGTTGTTTACACCTGTGCGAGCCTGGTTGTTTATACCTGTGCGAGGCTGGTTGTTTATACCTGTGCGAGCCTGGTTGTTTACACCTGTGCGAGCCTGGTTGTTTATACCTGTGCGAGCCTGGTTGTTTACACCTGTGCGAGCCTGGTTGTTTACACCTGTGCGAGCCTGGTTGTTTACACCTGTGCGAGCCTGGTTGTTTATACCTGTGTGAGCCTGGTTGTTTACACCTGTGTGAGCCTGGTTGTTTATACCTGTGCGAGCCTGGTTGTTTACACCTGTGCGAGCCTGGTTGTTTATACCTGTGCGAGCCTGGTTGTTTATACCTGTGCGAGCCTGGTTGTTTATACCTGTGCGAGCCTGGTTGTTTATACCTGTGCGAGCCTGGTTGTTTACACCTGTGCGAGCCTGGTTGTTTACACCTGTGCGAGCCTGGTTGTTTACACCTGTGCGAGCCTTGGCCACCTGTCTTGAGACATTCTGTGTTCCTTGTCCTAACTTTCTCGTTTCCGCATTCTCTCTCAGTATTGCTCTCATCTTATTTTTGTTTTCGTCTTTCTCATTTTTGCTCTCATTATTCATATTACCGGTTTGCTCAAGATGTAGTGATGGACCACCAGAAAGTACCAATATGAAGTGATGGACCACCAGAAAGTACCAATATGTAGTGATGGACCACCAGAAAGTACCAATATGTAGTGATGGACCACCAGAAAGTACCAATATATAGTGATGGACCACCAGAAATTAACAAAATGTAGTAGTTCAGAGGTATTGCCACAAGGCTAGTCCCCGAGCTGAAAGGTATGAGCTACGAGGAAAGATGACTAGAACTAAACCTCACGACACTGGAAGACACAAGAGTTAAGGGAGACATGATTACTACCAATAAAATTTTCACACGAATTGACAGGGTGGATAAACTATTTAAAACGGGTGGGACGCGAACAAGAGGACACAGGTGGAAACTTAAGTGCCCAAATGAGCCACAGGGACGTTAGAAAGGACGCGAAATGACAGCTAGGGACATGATACAGACGTATAAAATACTTAGAGGAATTGACAAGGTGGCAAGAGAGGAAATGTTTACAATGAATAACAACAGAACAAGGGGGCACGGATGTAAGCTTGAGACTCAGATGTGTCATAGAGATGTTAGAAAGTTTTCCTTTAGCATAATGGTAGAGAGTTAATGGCATGACCTAAAGGAGCAGGTTGTAGAGGCTAACTCCATTCATAACTTTTAAAGCAGGAATGACAGGGAAATAGGTCAAGAGTCATTGCATTAGTCAACGGCTAGAAAAACGGGGTCCAAGAGCTAAAGCTCGATCCTGCAGGCACAAATAGGTGAGTACACACACACAGGGGAACCGGTGACCGAGCGGACAGCACGCTGGACACGTGATCCTGTGGTCCCGGGTTCGATTGAGGGAGCCGGCAAGAAACGATGGGCAGAGTTTCACCCTATGCCCCTGTTACCTAGCAGGAAACAGGTACCTGGGTGTTAGTCAGCTGCCACGGGCTGCTTCCTGAGGTGTGTGTGTGGTGTGAAAAGAAAATAGTTGTAGTAGAAACAGTTGATTGACAGTCGAGAGGCAGGCCGAAAGAGCAGAGCTCAACCCCCGCAAGCACAACTAGGTGAAAACACACACACACACACACATATGGCTGTTGAAGTTCAACCCGAGTAAATGCAAAGTAATGAAACCAGGCAGTGGAAACAGGAGGCCAGGCACAGGATACAGAATAGGAGATGAAGTACTTAATGAAACAGACAGAGAGAAAGATCTAGGAGTTGATATCACACCAAACCTGTCTCCTGAAGCCCACATAAAGAGAATAACGTCTGCGGCATATGCGAGGCTGGCTAACATCAGAACGGCGTTCAGGAACCTGTGTAAGGAATCATTCAGAATCTTGTACACCGCATATGTAAGACCAATCCTGGAGTATGCGGCCCCAGCATGGAGCCCGTACCTTGTCAAGCACAAGACGAAGCTGGAAAAAGTCCAAAGGTATACTACTAGACTAGTCCCAGAACTAAGAGGCATGAGTTATGAGGAAAGGCTGCGGGAAATGCATCTTACGACACTGGAAGACAGAAGAGTAAGGGGGGACATGATCACAACCTACAAAATCCTCAGGGGAATCGACCGGGTAAACATGGATGAACTATTCAACACTGGTGGGACGCGAACAAGGGGACACAGGTGGAAGCTGAGTACCCAAATGAGCCACAGAGACGTTAGAAAGAACTTTTTCAGTGTCAGAGTAGTTAGTAAATGGAATGCATTAGGCAGTGATGTGGTGGAGGCTGACTCCATACACAGTTTCAAATGTAGATATGATAGAGCCCAGTAGGCTCAGGAACCTGTACACCTGTTGATTGACAGTTGAGAGGCGGGACCAAAGAGCCAGAGCTCAACCCCCGCAAGCACAATTAGGTGAGTACACACACACACACCAAGAGTCAATGCTTGATCGTGTAGACACAAACAAACAGGCGAGTACACAGATGGGGGGGGGGAGGCCTCTGGCTGAGTGGACAACGCTTGAGACTCGTAATCCTATAGCCCGGGTTCGATCCCCGGCGATGGCGGAAAAGAAATGAGCAGAGTTTCTTTCACCCCTGATGCTCCTGTTACCTAGCAGTAAATAAGTACCTGGGAGTTAGACAGCTGTTACGGGCTGTCCCACACATACACATCCTGGGGATGTGTGTGTGTGTTTGAAGTTGATTGACAGTTGAGAGGCGGAACCAAAGAGCCAGAGCTCAACCCCCACAAATACACCTCTAGGTGAGTACACACCTACTGCCCTTACCGGAAGTAACAGGAAACAGCGCTCTCTCTAAACTTTCATTTTTGCTGTAAAAAAATATTTAGGTAGCTCCTCCAACCCTGTCCTCGCCATCCCTACTCCACCCACACCCACCACCAGGTTGGGTGACCATCCATATGCTCCCCAACCACACCCACCACCATCCATATGCTCCCCAACCACATCCACCACCATCCATATGCTCCCCAACCACATCCACCACCATCCATATGCTCCCCAACCACACCCACCACCATCCATATGCTCCCCCAACCACACCCACCACGATCCATATGCTCCCCAACCACACCCACCACCATCCATATGCTCCCCCCCCCCTTCACTCATACAGACCCCCCCCCCCCACCCACTCATCCACCACCCATACCTTCAAACTTTTAAACATGGCGTTTATACGCAAACGAATTCAAGTATATCAAAAATATACAATGTTGCAGTTACACTCTGATCAATCATACACACACCCAACATGACCATACACCCTCAGAAGCCAATCATACCACCGCCTATATATACTCTCCAGTGACATACATCACCGATCATACACCAACAGTCAATGGGGCCCCTCTATACAACCCATGCAGCGAGCACCACACTCCCATAGACCACACCTCCTACCATACACCATACTGATCATACACACAGGTAGCTGGCCCAAGGAGGCATGCGGGAGGGGTGGGGAGAGAGATGGAGGGGGAGAGATGGAGGGGGGAGAGAGAGAGGAGGGGTGAAAGGGGGGGGGAAGGGAAGGGAGGGGGGGAATGGGTGATGAAAAAAATGGCAAGTACATCCGCTTGGAGCGTCTCCAGGTTGGTTAGATTAAGAGCACTCCCAACCTTCCCTCCCCCCCCCCAATCTCCTCCCCCCCTTTCCCTCTATCTTCCCTCCCTCCCTCCCTCCCTCCCCTGACTGACGCCCACACCTTTGGCAGGTACGCCCGCCGCCTCCGTACCGCGTACCGTAGACATTTCTAGGCGCATACGCCCCCTCCCCCCCCCCCCCCCCCCCCCCGCTCTTTAATCCACATCCCATCCACACCTTTAACCCTTTACTCTGCTGCGGCCAATGGACCAAAAAGGCTCGTGGCAGCTCCACACACAGCAAGATAACACCGGCTATCTTGAGGTTATCTTGAGATGATTTCGGGGCTTAGTGTCCCCGCGGCCCGGTCCTCGACCAGGCCTCCTTTTTGTTACATACCCCCAGGAAGCAGCCCGTAGTAGTTGTCTAACTCCCAGGTACCTATTTACTGCTAGGTAACAGGGGCATCAGGGTGAAAGAAATATTTTGCCCATTTGCCTCCGCCTCCACCGGGGATCGAACCCGGAACCTCAGGACTACGAATCCGGAGCGCTGTCCACCCAGCTGTCAAGCAACTACCACAGCAATGTTGGTGAAGGCTGAATACCTGGAGAGAATACTCGCTCTCACAACCCTAGCAGGGTTATGAGATCACGGTCATATGATCACGACATACAAGATACCGAGGGAGGGGGGGGGGAATAGACAAGGTGAACAAGTATCGTTTCTTCAGAGTGAAAGAAAGCAGGACAAGAGGACACAGGTGGAAGCTGGAGGTGCTAATGAGCCCAAAGAGACCCAAGAAGTACTGGTAGTTAACACGTGGAATGCTCTTGAGGTTATCTTGAGGTTATCTTGAGGTTATCTTGAGATGATTTCGGGGCTTTAGTGTCCCCGCGGCCCGGTCCTCGACCAGGCTTCCACCCCCAGGAAGCAGCCCGTGACAGCTGACTAACTCCCAGGTACCTATTTACTGCTAGGTAACAGGGGCATTTAGGATGAAAGAAACTTTTGCCCATTTGTTTCTGCCTCGTGCAGGAATCGAACCCGCGCCACAGAATTACGAGTCCTGCGCGTTATCCACCAGGCTACGAGGCCCCAGAGGAAGGTGTGGAAGCCACCTCCATCCACGACTTCAAGGTCAGATTGAACTTTATTATTATTAACATCTTTATTGACAAAATTAATTACAATTTTGCCTAATCTGAGGATTTTGATAGTCTTATTAAAGTGAGGATAATGCTGGTATTCACTGTCACGCAGGACAGAGGGTCATACACAAGACAATAGGTCTAAACTGTAGGCTGAAGCACATATATATCATGGTTACATTGAACAAAGAATTTCAGAGTGAGCGCAGTTGACACCCAAGAGGTACAAGGGCAGTAGGCTGGGGACGAGGAGCTAGAGCCCACTCCCCCATAGACAGAGGGGCGTCATAACGGCTGGGGTGCTCACCACGCCCGCCCGCGTTTGCTCTAATACACGGTGCTCCTTAGCTCTATTGGAAAGTTGCTACACCTTGTAATAACGTTTTTATGATGTATTACAACGTTCCTGCAACTTATTAGGTGTTAAAGCCTTGTTGGAACGTTGCAGCAACGTCGCAGTTTGGTGGAGTGTTTGGCGGGACGACACCAACGTTGTGGAGACGTGCAGGGAGACCCAACAACAACAACAAGGGGGGTGTACTATACCTCCCTCGTGCTCTCACGGCCCTCCAGTCATCCGTGCCCCGTCACGCCCACACTCAACCATTCACCTACAGTGTTTACACTGATCACTTTAATACTTTAGGACAATAGTGGTGACTGTGACTCCTTAAACCCCCCCCCTCCTCCCCCCCCCCCCCCCACCCATGTGCTAATGCACCTGGTTGACACATGTCAAACATTTAGAATTATGACTTTAAACACAGCACTGCCTCGGTGGTGTGTACA